GGTGCCCGGGGTCAGAGGGGCGGGGGTGCCCGGGGTCTGAGGGGCGGTGGTGCCTTTGGTCTGAGGGGCGGCGGTGCCCGGGGTCTGAGGGGCGACACGCCCTGGGATCCGAGGGACAGAGGGTGCCCAGCTCCGAGGGACGGCCACTGGTGGACCCTGTGTGAAGGGCTACAAGACTCGTGGCTGGAGCACAGACCCCACGGGCACCCGAGCCGGACAGGGCGCTGCCAATACCACCTTGCCTCAGTTTCCTCACTTGGTTCCTGCCGAGGACCCCTTGTATCCCCACACCAGGAGGTGGCCCTACATCCAACAGCCTCTCCTCAGCCGGTGCCTGGGTGGGCCCTTGCTCCACCTTGTCCCACCTGGACTTTGCGGGAGATACAAAGGCGCAAGAGTTGTTTTGGTTTTCTGCCCAGACCTGGCAGCATCCGGGAGGTGGGCGGAGGGCACCTGAGGTTGGTACTTAGGGAAATGGGGCAGAGGACGCCAGGGGTACGTTTACACACAGTAAAAGGGCTTGGGGCTTTATGAAGGCTTTCATCTCCAGTTCCGCAGCAGTCCGCTGCAAGCTGATTGTCAGAGCATTATTGCCCCACTTTATTGCCAACCCTGGAGGTCCCCCGGGGACACAACTGGGTCAGCTCCCCCAGTCACTCATGTCACCAGCAGGTAGACCTCGAGAGACCACAGGGTCTCTCACTGTCCCTCCAGCAAGATTTTAGGTGCTGGAAAGGCAAGAGCCTGAATCAGAAAGCCCAGATTCCTGACAGTCTGGAGCAGGTTTTCCAAAGGAAACATTCTCAGTATCCAGTTTTTAATTCTCTTGGCTGGCAAAAATTAGATGCAAGTTCTTCTAAGACACCACCAGCACCTACCTACCCCCAGTTTAGATCGTGCCAAGATTTCCTTGGCATTTGGTGGTGCCCTTTGCCTCTGAGGGTTCACTGGGTTATAGATAGGTAGGTCATCTGATGACATGGGTACACCCGGATGACAGGGCTACACTCTTGTGCCTCGTGGCAGGAGGTAGTCACCTTCCGGGCACGCCACCTTCCACCCTACCTGTGTGCCTGGATTCCAGCACCATCTCCACCCACCCCAGAGCCAGGCAGCCCTCAGAAGTCACCCAGATTCCTGTAAAACAGCGTCGTGGTTAATAGCCTCAGCTCTGTCCCTTCCACACAGGAAACCATGGGTAATGGCTCCTACCTTGGAGGATGTAGCGTGAATGAGTTAATAAATGAGAAGGACTTAGAATACTGCCTGGCACTAAATAAGTGCTCTGTCCATGTTGAAAATTAGAGCCTGTTCGTTTTTTAAAATAAAAATGTGATTTTGGTTCCTTTGTGAATGTAAATGACATATTAGTAGTGTTTTTATCTTGTTTTTAAAAATAGCTTCAGAACTTGAGGTTTTCAGAGCTTTGTAAGAATTGCCTTAATTTTGGAGCTTGCCATTTAGGTTGGGATTGCCCATTCCCGGCTGTCAGGGCAGCAGGCAGATTTCCCATCCTTAGCCTGTGGGCAGCATCTCCAGCCACTGTTCTTCTGCCCCAAGGCATGGCCCACCTGCCCTTTACTGTCACCTCCTCCCACCACACACAGGCTCTCAAAGATAAGAACAGGAAATAAAATCCAATCGTAAATGCTTTAAGTGACCATCTTCCCAAAATTTTCAAGGAGGCCCTCATTTTCGGACCATCTTAGCTAAGTTGACTCAGAACATCATTTTCTTGTTCGTGATCTCACTGGGTGTACGGCTTCTTCTCTGTAGTCTTGAAGGTGCGTAGGCTTGGTGCCTGTCCAGGGGCCCAATTATTTCAGAAGGATGAGTTTCATTCCTGAGATTTCTCTGGTGGATGGAGCCTACCTCAGGGCCTTTCCCTACAGATTTGGGATACCACTTAAGTGGCTGCTCGATAGGTCAGACTTACAGTTTAATTTTTATACAGTTTAATTCAGGGGTCTTTGTAATAACATAACCAGCATGTTTTCAGCAAGTCTGTGCCAGGCACTACTCCAAATCCTTTACATCCATTATCTCCTGCCACCCTTGGAGAAGCCCCTTTGAGGAAGATCCTGCTGGCACCTTGTACAGATGAGAACCCTGAGCTTCAGAGAAGTCAAGCAATCTGTCCACCATCATGACTAGCCAGAGGCAGAGCCAGGCTTCCAACCTGGGGAGCCTGACTCAATAGGGAGCTTAAACTGCTGTGCTGTGCTGCTTTTGATGATGCTCTTCAGACTCACTCAGAGTAACTCAACCCGGAGTTAAAGCAGGCGGGAATAAAGCTGCTGCCCTTTGATGTCCTCCCCAGAGCCAAATGAAATGTTTGCTCCTCTACGAACTCCGGTACCATGTTTCCAGGTACTTGAAGAGTCTTAGGCAGTACCCTTGGGGTAGAGATTAAGCATTTCCAGTGTGGGTGCTCCAGGTGGCAGTATTGCTGTCTGATCACCCCACGGGCTCGGTGTGAAGGATGTTGGATTCTCCTGATCATGAATAACCTCCTTCCCAGTGAGGAGGAAGATGGAGATGCTGTTCTTGCAGGTGAGAGATGATGCCTGGGGGACACCTCTGTGAATGAGTGACAGCTCGACCTCCGGGGCTGGTTTGCAGGAGAGAGGTGGGAGCCCTCGCCTGTGGGAGGAGGCTCTGGTCTCTGGGACTGGGTGGCGTTGGCTCCTAGTTGGTGAGAGCAGGGGTGCATGCACCTCCCTCCTCCCGATGATTCATGTCTAGGGGCTCCTTGCAGTCCCCTGTCAGCACTTCGTGGACAGGGAGTGGGTCATTGAGAGGGACCCAAGAGGAGCAGCTATAGAGGGTAGGACCAGGGGAACATGTGCAGAAAGGGAGTGACCTGCAGGGTGAGGTGTTGGCTGGACACCGCAAGATGAGGACCTTGGTGGGACCTTAGAAGTAGCAGGGTCAGTGGGCAGAGGGTCAGGGTGAGTGAGGGGTGCAGACCCCCACCAAACCCAGGCACTTATTAGGAGCTCAGACCTGCTGTGAAGGGGTCTGCATTTTAGCAAGCTGCCAACCCATGGGGAAGCTGGTTTAAACCTTACTTGCTGGGCCCACCCCAGAGACTGATTTGGCGGTCTCTGGTGGGCCCAAGAATGTGACATCTAAGGAGCCCCCGGGTGCTGCTGCTGATGGCAGGCCAGGACCATGCCTGAAGGAAGACGAAGAGAATCAGGGCAGCCCAAAGAGGTTTAAATGCTGGTGGCTCACGCCTGTAATCCCAGCACTTTGGGAGGCTGAGGCCGGTGGATCACCTGAGATCAGGAGTTCAAAACCAGCCTGGCCAACATGGTGAAACCCTGTCTCTACTAAAAATACAAAAAATTAGCTGGGCGTGGTGGTGGATGCCTATAATCCCAGCTACTCAGGAGGCTGAGGCAGGATAATCGCTTGAACCTGGGAGGCAGAGATTGTAGTGAGCCAAGATCATACCTTTGCACTCCAGCCTGGGTGACAAGAGTGAAACTCTCTCAAAAAAATAATAAAAAATAAATGCTGATAGGAAAGAGCCAGAGAGAGGGAGAGGTGACACTGCCATGGTGGTTTGACATGTCAGGGATGTGATTCACGTGGTGTGGATTTGGCTTGGTGTCTGCGCTGAGTGATTGCCCGGCACCTGCGCTGAGTGCCTGCCCGGCACCTGCGCTGAGTGCCTGCCCGGCACCTGCGCTGAGTGATTGCCCGGTACCTGCGCTGAGTGCTTGCTCGGCATCTGCGCTGAGTGATTGCTTGGTACTTGCATTTGATTTCAATAAATGTTCTGTAAAGACTCCAGCTTTGTAGCTGGTGATAATCAGCATCTTCCTTTGGGACATTCCCATGGTCTTCAGTGTGTTTATGGACTGAACTGCAAGGGCACCTGGAGGCAGACATTGCTTCCCGTGGGGGCAGAGCAGGAGTTTCGGCACAGAGCGTGCAGGCTCTACAGTGAGGGCCAATGTCCAGGAACTGGTCCCTGGGAGGTTGTTGTCTGCTCAGAAGTGTTCTCATCTGGTCTCAGCATCAGACTGATAGACCGCAGCCCGGCTCAAACCCATGACCACTTGGAAGCTGACCTATTTTTGTTTGTTTCCTCCGGATACACTCAGAAGCAGCTACCACAATTGCCCAAATGACTGCCTCCATCTCGTGGGAGCCTGTGATCCTCCTGTGCTTCCCCGGGCACCAGCACCTTTCTGTTCTGAGCGGGTGCTTCCCAAGCATGCGCTTGGTTCTCTTTTGATGAGCAGTCCAGGCTGCTCTAGACGGTGCATTTAAGAGTGATGTGGTCCAAGATCAAGGCAGATGTGGTAATGAATTTTTAAAAGAATAAAATTAATTCAATAAAAATGAGTGTGTGATCCCCGGGGAATCTCCGGGAGACTCCCTGGGCATCACATGCAGCTATTATAATAATAACTGAGTGATTGTGATGAGAACGATGGCAAGCTGGGCCCTGGCTCTGTGCCAGGCCGCTTTTAAACATTTTACAGTGTAATTTGACTTAATGGCCTGCAGCTTTACAAGGTGGATGTTATGAGCGTGTTTCGCACAGGCGGAAATGCCACCGCGTGTGTTAGCGTAGGCACTCAGCCCCACAGGCTCGGGGCCGCCCCTCAGGTCTCCAGAGTGGATCCACAGCGCCTTCAGCAACCAGTCTGCTTCGTTAGCACTCAAAAGCCATTGCAGTCATTAGGACGTGTCCTGTTTTTCTCGTTTTTAAAATAGCATGTGCTTATCGCAGAACATGAGCCATGAAGAAAAAGAGGGAATTAAAATCACGTGTAACCCCCTCATCAGCCATCGTCACTGTCAGTGTTCGGGCGCCTCGCAGGCAGCCTCCTGCCTTCATCAGAATCTATCCTGAGTGAGAGGCATTACTGTCAGCTCGCTGCCTGGGCCGCGGGTGGGTGGGATCTGGAAGCCGATGCTGTGTCGCTGTTCCTCAGGGTGCTCCTGTGGCCTCTCCTTCCCTCCTGCTGTCCTGGAGTCCAACCCAGGCACAAGCAGTTGCACAAGACCAAGGCTCAGGGAGGGGACAGGGGAGGGGAAGCGCAGAGGGTCAGCGTCGGGGGAACACAGCTTTCGAACTGTGGCCTGACCCGTGAGGGGACGAGGCTCACCTTCTGGCTCTGTCCGTCCTTCTGGCAAGCTCTCTAATCTCGAGTGAACTTCGTTTTCTTTATCATGAATGGGACCACTGCCGGCAGCTGCAGAACTGTTGGAGGGGAGTATCCAGCTGAACCAGAAGTCTCCTGGTTGGAAACTGCTCTGCCAAAGAGTTTGGAGGAGTCTGATATTTAATTAGAGTTAGTTTTCCAGGACCTTGCTTTGGGGTGCTCGGAGCTGGCATGGCGGGTCTCCCTCCGCCTCTGTCCTCCCTGATCTCGTCTCCAGCTGGGAGGAGAGTGCATCTCCGTGTGAGCGGCCTCCTCCCTGTCTCAGAGGGAAGCCCCAGCAGTGCCAGTGCCGAGACCGGGCCGGTAGTTGTGGAGATGGGACAGGTGAGCTCCCGGCACGCGCGGGCACCATCGGCAGGGCCAGAGTCCACCCTGTGTTTCTCTTTCCTGGGACTGTTGGAAGAGGTAAAGTGAAAGTGACTTGTTCTTGTAGCTCTAGTATCTTTGGGCAGCAGCGCTCCTGCTAAGCAAGCCCTTGGGGGCTCAAAGCCGCAGAGGCTGTGGCCGGTTCCCCGCACTGGTCCTTGCGTAGGTGTCCTGAGAAGGGCGGGGGAGGCCCAGTGCCATAGGGGAACGCCAGCCCGCCACTCTGTGGTGCCATGCTGCTGTCCACTCAGCTGTTCCCTCGGCAGCTTTAGCCGGTATCTGCAGCATCACACGCGCAGTTCTAGTTGCTGATGATCAAGCAGTGAGTGAAGCAGCTGAAATGGGCGGGCAGATGGTGGAGGGGAGCAGTCCATGCACGTGTTTGACAGGAGTGCTGTGGAGAGAAACGGCAGCCAGGTGCGGGGGCTAGAGGCGGGCGCCGTGTGGACAGAGTTCTTGAAGGCCTGGTGGGGAAGCTGGCACCTAGCAGAGCTCTGAAGGATTAAGGGGCTTGCTGGTATCTGGGGAGCATTCCCCCCAGAAAGGAGCAGCAGGTGGAGAGGCCATGTGACTAGGGTATGGTGAGCCAGGTGGGGGCCCATGGCCAGCACAAGGACTGACTGGTGCTGCTGGCGAGGTGGGTGTTAGGGGCCTGTGATGTGAACTTGCACTTTTCAGCAGGGCCGCAGGAGCCCCGTGGCTGGGAGGGAAGAGCCATGCTTGCTCCAGGTGGCAGTACCTGCCGCGCAGGAATCCGGGTGATGAGTTACAGGCCTTGGATCCTCCTGTGGGGTGGCTGTGGGTGCTCCTAAGAATAACTTCTGTTTTTTGGTTTTTTTTTTCTTTTTTTTTTAATAGAGATGGGATTTCTCCATGTTGGCCAGGCTGGTCTCGAACTCCCGACCTCGGGTGATCTGCCCACCTTGGCCTCCCAAAGTGCTAGGAATACAGGCGTGTGCCACCGCACCTGGCCAAGAATAACTTGTAAAGGGGCATGATTCCAATTTTGGCTAGAGAGTGTGCCAGAGCTTTGCTTTTGGGTACCTGTGGCTGCTTGGAGTGGGTGGCCATCTTACGGGGGTCAGATGGGACGGTGGCTCCCTGCCATGAGAGGGACGCTGCACTCATCCCACCAGCGAGAGTCATCCCAGGAAGCCTGTTTCAGGGCCCGCGTCCATGTTGAGACTTCAGGAAGGCTCTCCCACGCCAAGCCCACCCCTTTACTGCAGAGAAGAGGTGCTTCAGGACAGCTTCTCTGGTGGCTGTGGAGGCCAGGCCCTGGGGCATCACGTGGCTCCGTGGGCTCCCTGGCAGATGAGGAGCTCAGCCCAGCGGGCACTTGTGCCGCACTCCATTCTGACTCCTCTTTGCTGATAGCACTGTGTTCTGGGAAGGGCCAGTTATCGGCCTGACGTAAAGGGTTTTCCCCACACTAGGCAAAGCAGAGAAAGGCGTTGTGTGCAGTTACCCCCGCAACACACACTGTTCTGTTTTCAGAAGCTGTGTGGGTTTGGTTGGAGTGACTCCGGCCCTGTGCCAGGGAGTAAACACGGAAGATGGGGGACGAACGGGAACGGGAAAGGGCAGAGTGGGAGATGTTGACGTGCCGGCCACCCATGCCCCATGGCTTTGTGATGTCGGGCAGCCTGTGCCCAGGAAGGGCAGCTGTGCATGGCACAGCAAGGGGTGGCCAGACATGTGCGTTCCTACCCTGAGTGAACTCGGGTCAGAGGGCGTCTGTGTGGAAGAAGCAGGCATCGGTCCTTTTCCCACAGTCCTCTCAGCAAACACAATCACTGGTTCAAGGCTCGGATGCACTCGTGCTCATGGGCTCAGGGACCAGACTCCTTCCCTGGCCAGCAGCCTGGTGCCGCCTGCCTGCTCTGCCCCCACTTGAGGGAGGCGGGCTCTGGAGACGGCACCTGGTCTCCAGCTACCATGTCGGAGGTAATTGCAGCCAGATATTCCTTAGAATGGTGAGACAGATTTTATTCCCCAATTCCTGACAGTAGGAAAAGGAGCTGTGTTCCTTGCCGATTCAGCAGAGATGACTTTTGGATTTAAAGGGAGAATGATTAGCTGAGCCTGGTGGCACGTGCCTGTAGTCCCAGCTACTCAGGAGGCTTAGGCTGGAGGATCACCTGACCAGCATTTTGAGGCTGTGATGAGCCTTGATTGTGCTACTGTGCTCCAGACTGGGCAATAGAATCAGACTCTGTCTCTAAAAAACAAAAATAAAAATAAAATAAATAAAAGATAAAGGGAGAATGAAGGAGGGGAAGGAGGGCAAGCAGGGGGCCTCCAGTGAAAAACAGCATGGGGCTGGTCAGTGCGCGTGTGTGAAGGCGGCCTTGTCTGCAGCTGGCGGCTGTGAAAGTTAGAGTTCTCCTCCCCCCGTGGTGACATGCAGAACAGCGGCTCTCAGGGCCTTGAGTGAGACACCTGAGTGGTGGAGGCGCATGCTTACTACTTGGAAGGCTCTAAGGAAGGAGGCTGGGGCCTGGGACCGGTGGTCAGGTGTGGCTGGCTGGAGTGCTCACATTCTGGCAGCCCTGTGCTTTCTTGGCTGGTCCTTCGAGGGGGCTCACTCCTGAGGCTGTGGCCCTGCAGACGCCCTGCTAGAGTCCAGGTGTCTCTTGGTACAGGGGTGTAGATGACATATGTTGTCAGTGTGGGGTTCTCCTTACCCTTCATCCCTCAGCACCCAGAGGAAGAGTTGAGGTGGGTTTGGTTTGGGGGATTTTTGTTGTGAGTCTTAAAAAAAATTGAGGTAAAATTCATATAACGTACTTACCTGACAGGTGACATACCACAACGTGTAGGTGGTTTTCCCAAGGCGAGGCTTATCCATTCATTACACTCCGGATGTGCTGACCACTGTGATTTCCCCAAGTGTCAGAAACTGAACTGCATAATTTCTGATAGTGTGGAACTGTGTTCGTGCTTTCCCTGATAGAAAAAATAAAAGTTTAAAAACTAAGTCATATATGCGGCATAAAATGAAAAGGGCACAGTTCCGTGGTATTTGGCGCAGGAAGCTGTCATGCAGCCTTCAGTTCTCCCTAGTTCCAGAGCATTTTCGTCACCCGAGAGGAAACCCATATCTGTTAGGTAGCCACCTCCCAGCCCCAGCTGGCGCGACCCCTGTGCATTTGCCAGTTGTGGATGTTCGGCGTCCAGGGAAGGGCTTAGACGCCTTTCTCTTTGTTCTGTGCCATCCCCCAGCCCTGTCTCTCTGAGTTCTGCCTGGTGGCTCTGGGCTGCCTCGCCCGCCTGCCTGACACATGTGCCCTCTGTTTTTGCAGCTCCCGACTACAGGTCCATTCTGAGCATTAGTGACGAGGCAGCCAGGGCACAGGCCCTGAACGAGCACCTCAGCACGCGTAGCTATGTCCAGGGGTACTCACTATCCCAGGCAGACGTGGACGCGTTCAGGCAGCTCTCGGCCCCGCCCGCTGACCCCCAGCTCTTCCACGTGGTTCGGTGGTTCAGGCACATAGAAGCGCTCCTGGGTAGCCCTTGTGGCAAAGGCCAGCCCTGCGGGCTCCAAGCAAGTGAGTAACAGAATGGGTTCCCTGGCCACTCGAACCTCTCCCCCAAGGTCAAAGGCCTTCTCAATCACCTGTGTGGTTACCTGGCGCCTGCGGATACCCCAAAGGGAGCCTCACCCAAGTGTGTCTCCAGCAAGTGGCCTGGCAGGGCAGATCCAGTGCTCGGTGGGTGGAGGTTGGGCTAAAATCACGCCCCATGGAGTTGGTTATTCACCAGTGATGTTCACGTCACTGATATGGCAGGATTGCCTGAGGCAGCGGGGACCCTGGGGTTCCACGCAGCATGCCCAGGCCTCGGGCCTAGCCTTGTGATTTTTAGCTAAGGCTGTGCCTGGCTCTGATGGACTCAGTTCTTTCTCTTTACGTTTTCTAGAAGACTGCAGTGTGTCTGTCCTCCAGCTTTAGGGTCGTCGAATCCTAAAGTGTTAGTCGTCATTGAACTTTTGTTTTTAAAGACTAGTCAAGTGCAGTAGTGAGAAGGGGGAAACGAGTAGAACCAGGAGCTCGATCTGTAACTGGCTGTGGACAGTCAATTGAGATAACTCACTGCCTTTGGACCAGCCACTGGACTTTTTAAAAATCAGAAATAGGTCATGTTTTTCTCTTGAGATGATGTCTGTCCTGTAGCTCCAGCCTGTTGGTGCTGGTTGCACCTGTGGAATGTGGCTGAGGTTATTTGTGGGGGATACTCCTGGGGTGCCTGCATGGCTTTGTCGCTCTCCATGGCAAATCTGAGGGGGTTCCATGCCACCACCACTGAAATGTGCCTTTGGGTGGCTCAGCTCCTCCTCTGGCTGTGGGCACTCCTCCACCTTCATGCAGGGCAGGTTTTGTGCTGTTTTCTGGTGGTCCTGGCTGTACTTGGTGGCCTCCTGGGGACTTCTCCAGGCTTCTTTGGGGCCACCCTGCCTCTGCTGTGGGTCACGCCTCTGCAAGGCCACTGTTTGAACCAGGGTGGAAGTGGGGCTGTCACATCTCCTGGGGGCCATATTTTCTGGATAGCTCTGAAGCAGACACCTCTTCCCCAGCATAGGGTGGAGGCTGCTGCTGTACAGGTCAGGACTTTCCCTGTGTAGCCATTCCTGCCTGAGCATCCAGTGTGGTCACCCAGGTGACAGCTGTGCTCTGAGGTGCCTTCTCTCCAAGGGCGTCAGATTGCTCCCCCTGCCGTGCGCCATTCCAAGACATAGCCAGAGGGGGCCTGGATCAAGGACAGCCAAGCGGGCCTGGTCCCTCCCGCTCAGCAGTGGCCTATCCAGTCTTCTGTGACAGGGACTTGTTGAAAGAACAGTATAGACACATGCCTCCATCCACACTGAGATAAAGGAAAGTTTTTGCCCCTACAGAGAGGAAGCAGAGCCACACTGCCGCGTAACGGAATGGACCGTGGATCGCACTAATGGACTTGTGCCCTCTCCAGGTTCCAAATCCCCTCATCACCCAGGCTGCCCAAGAGGCTGCCAGGGACTGCTTGTGCCAGGAATGATGGACATGAGGTCAGGCGACCTCACTTAAGCTGGGTGTACACTGAGCAGGGGCTGAAGGGGAAGGTGGAGCTGAGCCCAGGACTGCTAGGGCATCCAGTGACAGTGACCGTGAGTGGGTCCAGGATGCCGTGGAGTCCAGTGTAGTGTCCTCGCCCACATCCCTGGGATGACAGTAGCTGTGGCTTTCCCTCCATTTAGCTGTGAGAATCAGCCGCTGCCCCCACTGAATGGGAACGCCCTCCGCTTCCATTGCCCACACTCCCCAGGCGTCCACCTTCCCTCCTGGCACAGTGGGACAAGTGCCCCTCCTCCTGCTGGCCATCGCAGCAGCATCAGATGTGTCCATGTCTGGCCCTCAGCATGCCCTCCTGTCACCAGCCCCTCCCACGTGCCCTCCGTGTCCTCTCTCCGAAACCGTGGGGCCCAGCAGCCCGAGGAGTCCTCTCAGAGATGGAAAGGCTCTGCTTAACCCTCAGGGCCCTATTCCTGTGGAGCCAGACCACTTCCTGGGGGCCCCTTCCCTCTGTGGTGAGCCTCTAGCACGGAGGTCCACTGGAGGTCAGGGCGTTGAACTTGTTGGGCCCTTTTCACTCACGGCGGAGGCTCAGCCCTTCCAGCCTGCCGGCCTCTCCCTAGCCCCCAAGAAGGAGTGTCTGGATACACTTCACAGTAGGGCGTGGGTCTGTCAGATGCTGAGGCCATGGTTTTAGGAACATGAAGCTTTGGTGTTGCTCTCACCCCTTGGGTGGAGACCCCGTGAACTCCTTATGAAGGATTTCTCCCCGTGAACCCCTTGCTTGGGCCCTGTCTCCATCTGATGTGACACAGGCAGGCTGCTTGCCACTTCCTGGCTTCTCTCTGTCCATCCTTTGTCTTCAGCCTCCCAGATCCCTGATTTTAAGACATAGCTCTCATCAGCGATTCATAGTTGTTCCGATGTGGGATCTCTCAGGTCAGGGTGGGACTGTATTCATTGAATGAATGAATGTGTGTTAATTTTTTCTAAAGAAACAAAACGCAGGCCGGGCGCAGTGACTCACCCCTATAATCCCAGCACTTTGGGAGGCCAAGGTGGGTGGATCACCTGGGGTCAGAAGTTCAAGACGATCCTGGCCAACATGGTGAATCCCTGTCTTTACTAAAAATACAAAAATTAGCTGGGTGTGGTGGCAAACACTTGTGGTCTCAGCTATTCAGGAGGCTGAGGCAGGAGAATTGCTTGAACCCAGGAGGTGGAGGTTGCAGTGAGATGAGATCGCGTCACTGCACTCCAACCTGGGCAACAGAGCAAGACTCCATCTTGAAAAAAAAGAAGCAAAGACTTAGAGAACAGCATGCTGACTGCTTCTCTGGGTTCCTGTGTGAAGTGTAGCAGGAACCCTGATTAGGATTGTCAGCTTGTGGGGTGTTACACAGGATGGAAGACTGACATCACAATTCAGGGGTCCTGGCCTCTGAGCCAGACTCCTCCAACAGGGACTGACCCTGGCCAAGTGCTCTCAGCCCTGGTAACTCAGGAGGCAGGCAGTGGACTGTAAAAAGCAAGGGTCCTTAGTTTTTCCCTTCTGCAAATCTGAATATGTGTATCTGGGCTTGGTAACCCATTTCCTGGGGAGTCTGTCACCAGCTGTGTGGAAGTAGCAGCTTTAGGGGAGCTGGAAAGCTGGCTGTGGCCTGGCTTCTTGGGCGAGCTCTCAGTCCCGGGAACCCTGGGCCCTTCCCTCATAGCAGGGCGAGTGCGATGATCCCATGGCCTCATGGCCGTGTTTCTGGGCAGCATCTCCAGCCATCTGAGATGGCAGCAGTGTCCTATTGGAGGAGCTCCAGGGTCTTTGTGAGGGAAGAGAGTGACAGGGTCCTAGAGTGGCAGGCTGAGAGCCTGCAGGCATGGAGTGACAAGGTCCTAGAGTGGCAGGCTGAGAGCCTCCAGGCATGGAGTGAGAGCCTCCTTCGAGGGCTTGTGAGGCATTTGAAGTGACCTGAGTCTAGGTTGCACTTGGCCTCATAAACACGTGATATTTCATTAGGATTGGAATTTCCTATGCTTTGGAATCTGACCACCTGTGACTGCTGGAACTTAGCTAGAATGGGGGCTCCTGCTGAGCACTGTGCCTCTCTCTATCTCCCACCCCATCTCCTCTCCCTGCCCAGACACACATGGTGCAGCCGCCCTCCTTCCTCCCCTTGACCTATTAGTCACCAGCATGTGTCATCCTGGGCCGTGTGGCCCGGGCAAGAGCCAGGAGGCCAGAAGATGGCTGGTGCTCAGGACCAACTTCCCTGTGATCGCTGTGTGGCGATTCGCTGGTCATGTTCAACAGAGATTTGAGAGAGGCCTGTACAGGGTCCCACCTGCTGCCAGACCCTCTGACACAGAAGCCAGGAACAGGAGGAGGCAGGATGTCAGCATCCTGGTGAGCTGCCAGGCGGCCTGCCGGGGTGGGTGCAGGTCAGTGCCAGTAATATCCATCTCATAGGCCCTCCTGGTGCCACTCAGTGGAGACATGTGAAGCCCTTCCCAGGGCCAGGCACCAGGCTGGGGTCGGAGGTGCCCAGTAGAGCATGATGCAGAACCTGGACCTGTGGGCGATGACTGTGGAGGAAGGTGGTGATCTGCTGAGGGGGCAGGGCAGGTCTGAGCCAGCCGAGGGCAATGGGAAAGTCACCAGGTGCCGTCCTCTGCATCCGACTTTGCAGGATTGACGTTTCAGAGGGTGAATAATCACCCTGTGGCTGCCCCTGGCCCCAGAGACAGAGCTCTACCCCTTCAGGGGTCTCAGATGCAGGTTGTGTAAGGACAGCCTCATGCCAGGTTGGAAGCCAGGCCTGGCAGCAGTGTGGTCACAGCAGCCCGGGCAGCCCCGCAGGCATGTGGAGGGAACAGCTGGGGAAGCCTGGCCAGGAGGAGGTGACTGGACTGAGGGGCTGGCTGGCAAGGGTCTCTGCCTGGGGGCTAGGAGGAGCTCAGGTTATTTCTGAAGGCAGTATAGACCTATGTGGAGCTTGAAGCCAGTGTCTGGATCTGAGTCTGCTGGGCTGCCACCCCCAGCTAGGAGCCAGCCCCTTGCTTCCGCAGTGTCTGAAGTGATGAGGAGGGGCTGGGCTGGAGCCAGTCTTGCCTGCTGGCTATGGCCATGGGTAGTCCTTTCTGCTCTGACTCCTGGCCTCTGTTGCCAGGGCTTGGAGGCTTGGAGGTGGCCTTTGTCCCACGAAGAGTCCTCAATCTCCTCACTTTGTCCCGGTGAGGGATCCAGGAGGGGGAGGTTCCCAGGGCTGGGACAGCACAGACCATGTCAGTGTTAGGCCCTGGCTGACCCAGGAGTGCCAGGCGGCGTGCACACTGCCAGCAAGTGGCCGGTATTGGAAGAGCAGTGGAATGTGCTGGGCATGCTGTGTAGGCATTCCTCAGCCCTGCTGGGGTTCTTAGGGTATTATTGGGGTACGCTGCCATGCAGAATATGAAAAAGCAAAAGAAAGACGCAGCTGTCTTTGACCTAGGTAATGTTGGCTGAGATTCGTGTGGTTTCACATTGTTAAACATTGCACGGAAAACTGTAGTCCTGTTGTAAAAACCAAGTCCCCAGATGAAGAGGCGACTTATACTTCCTGGCGCTGTCCCTGGACCCTGACCCTGCTCTCTCTGCCTCCCAGGCAAAGGCCGGCGTGTACAGCCCCAGTGGTCCCCTCCTGCTGGGACCCAGCCCTGCAGACTCCACCTTTACAACAGCCTCACCAGGAACAAGGTAAGGAGGACACAGATGCCCTGGCACGTGCACAGGATGGGGAGGCAGGATGGCCCAGGTGCCCTCTCACACCACACACTTGTCTTCCTTCTGCTGGGCTCTGGAGTTCTGTAAATCCAGGTTTAAGATCCTCCAACCACTTCCATGTGATAGTCTCTGTGGCCCAGGGGCAGAGTTGTGTTCTGAAACTCAGACACGTGAAGTATCACGCCTCATGTGGAAGCCTGCCCATGGCTTCTGGGCGTGAATCACCCTGACTTGTCTCTTGGACTCTGCCCAAGCATGAGTACCTGAGGTCATCCATAGCCAGGCCTTTCAGGAGAACGCATGGTTGCAGCAGTTGGCACCGTATGAGCCAAGCAGGATGGGCAAAATGGCAAACTGGCTGCATGTTGTTGGGAGCACAGCAGGTTTGGAGAAGGCAGCAGGACGGGTTCCTCACAGAATGGGGTTTGCATGGTTTGCTTGGCTCAGGGTATGGCCAGTGACTCCAGAGGTTTCGGACCAGGCTCTGGCTGGGGCTGCTTGGATTTCCGTCAGCGAGCACACTTGGCAGACAGGGAGTCAGGTGTGAGGCAGTTCATGGCCTTCCTTGGGAAACTGGTTGAAGATGATGCCCCAGAGAGGTCAGAGGGGCTGGGATGTTGGGGAGTGGTGCCAGAGCAGCGGTGAGTAGCACCACGATTCAGAGGTCCTGGCACCCGAGCCAGGCTCCTCCGACAGAGGCTGACCCTGGCCAAGTGCTCTCTGCCTCAGTTTCTTCATCTGTAAAAAGAAAATTGCATAACCTACATTGTAGAGTGTACTGCGTGGAGCAGATACGTTCAATTGAGTATTTCGCTCAGGGCTGGCACGTGGTAGGTACTCGGTAAATATTAGCTGTGTTAGGTTAAATAAGCAGCATTCCAACAATAAGTAAAACCACTGATTCCCTTTATGGCCTCCCTCCACAGATGAGTGGAACCCAGGGAGGAAGAGGCTTCACCCATGCCGCGCTCTCAGTCGGTGGGGAGGTGCCGTACATCTCACTGGACTCCCACCGAAACTGTGACTTTTCACAGTAAAACAAAGTGGTCTGGGTTGAATTTGTTTACACAAAACGCAAACCACACTGTGATGTTTGTTGCTGTTTTTGGTAATCCTGTGCAGTGTTTCTTGCATTTCTTGTGATCGTCATTCCTTCATTCCTAACAAAGGAAGTGTTCATTCCTCAAGATGGGAAAAAGGTGACGTGGTATTGCTGTGGGCCAACCGTCTATGACGCATCTCACATGGGGCACGCCAGGTAGGTCCACGCCAGGTGTCCTGTGGCTTCTGCAGTTGCACACAGAAGCCAGAGCCGCTGGGATCCACAGCAGGGATTTTAGCTCTACAAAGATCTTAGATCTGCTACAGGGACCTGAGATTTGAGGAATCAAGCCTGAATTTCTTCTCTTATTTTTAAGATGAAAATTTTAGTGCTGTAAGTAATCCGTATTCACTGCAGAAACACTATAGACGACCAAAAAGGAAATGTCTGCAGCCCCGCTGCTAACATGCTGGACTCCACCTGGCCGCTTTTTCTCACGTACCTTTAAGGTTTCTGTCATCCCTCAAGCTCTGGTGGGGTCCCCAGATGCTGAGTTCCCATCACACTCAGACCTGACCGGCCTGAGGCTGAGTTGGCTGTGACCCCTCCCCTCCACACACACACTGGATGGTCATGGCTGTAGCTCCTGACGAGTAGCTGGCTGTTGGGGTAAATGCCACAGAGCCCTTTTATTTGTTCATGTTTCAGTTGCAATGCCAAGGTCATGTACAGTCAACCCTTGAACAACCCAGAGGGTGGGGGCGTGGCCCTCTGCACAGTTGAAAATCCACATACAACTTTTGATTCCCTGAAACGTCACTACTAAAATAGCCTCTTGTTGACTAGAAGCCATACCAATAGCATGCCAGTCAGTGAACACATATTTTATATATGTATTACATACTGTATCCCTAACAGCAAAGGCAGCCAGAGTAAAGAAAATATTATTAAGAAAATCGAGGCTGGGCGCGGTGGCTCACGCCTGTAATCTCAGCACTTTGGGAGGCCAAGGCAGGTGGATCACCTGAGGTCGGGAGTTCAAGACCAGCCTGACCAACATGGAGAAACCCCGTCTCGACTAAAAATACAAAATTAGCCAGGTATGGTGGCACATGTCTGTAATCCCAGCCACTTAGGAGGCTGAGGCAGGAGAATCGCTTGAACCTGGGAGGTGGAGGTTTCAGTGAGCTGAGATCACGCCATTGCACCCCGCTTGGGCAGCAAGAGTGAAACTCCGTCTCAAACAAAAAAGAAAAAATCATAAGGAACAAAAAATATATTAACTATTCATTAAGTAGGAGTGGATCATCGTAAAGGTCATCCTTGTCACCTTCACGTTGAGTAGGCTGAAGAGGAGGAGGAGGAAGGGGAGGGTCCTTGCTGTTTCAGGGGTGGGAGAGAAAATCACATATAAGTGGACCCATGCAGTTCACGCCTGTGTTGTTCAGTGTTCAGCCATATGTATCATCTGATTCAGAAATGTTTGTTTTTTTTCATTGCTTTAGGTCCTACATCTCTTTTGATATCTTGAGAAGAGTGTTGAAGGATTACTTCAAATTTGATGTCTTTTATTGCATGAACATTACGGATATTGATGACAAGGTAAAGAAAAGGATTTTGGCCGGGCACGGTGGCTCACGCCTGTAATCCCAGCACTTTGGGAGGCCGAGGCGGGTGGATCACAAGGTCAAGAGATCGAGACCATCCTGGTCAACATGGTGAAACCCCATCTCTACTAAAGATACAAAACAATCAGCTGGGCATGGTGGCACGTGCCTGTAATCCCAGCTACTCAGGAGGCTGAGGCAGGAGAATTGCCTGAACCCAGGAGGCGGAGGCGGAAGCTGCGGTGAGCCAAGATCGCGCCATTGCACTCCAGCCTGGGTAACGAGAGCGAAACTCCGTCTCAAAAAAAAAAAAAAAAGAAAAGAAAAGAAAAGGATTTTATAAGATTAAATTTTAAATGCAGTTGGATGGCGTGAGAGAAGATAGGACTTTTGCATAAGTAAATAAAATAACGTAGGCTTCATCCAGCTTGTGTTTTGACCTGATAAACATCATTTTAATCCCCTCAATGAATAGTATTACAGCTTATGCCACTGCTATGTTCATTTATATAGATGTTCAGATGCAGTTAGAAACCTACATGTTGAAAAAAAAAAAAAAAAAGAACCTGCTTGTTGGTCAAGTGTCAGGAACCCCTGGTGTTTTGCGGAAGGAAGGCTGCCCATAGCACGCACTTCTACTTCCAGCTCCGCAGGGGAAGCCGGGGCCCCAGGGCTTGTTTCCTTAAGCGGCAGAAAGATCACGTTAGGCCTTGGGCACTACTTGGCAGGTGGGAGATGGAGGATGGTATTTCCGTTTGGTGATGGTGTGCACGTCCGGGGCCCACAGTTGTCTCCCCCCGCCCTCACCCTCACTTAGAGTTGGCCAGGTAGAGAGCGGCCTGCCGCACAGGGATGAAGCGGCTGTACACGTCACTCCCTCGTGTCTGCCTTCCCTCTCCAGATCATCAGGAGGGCCCGGCAGAACCACCTGTTCCAGCAGTATCGGGAGAAGAGGCCTGAAGCGGCACAGCTCCTGGAGGATGTTCGGGCCGCCCTGACGGTGGGCCTCCTGCTGTCTGCTCTAGAAACTGAGCCCTTTGCTTTCTAGTCTCGGTCCTCTGTAGGGTACTGTCCCTAGGGTAGTGTCAGTCTCGCAGACTTTCACAAAGTGTATATTACGCAAGCCAGGGCCATCGGGGCACTGAAGTCTCCATAGGTGAGGTCCCTTGGCCTGTGACAAAGTCACCAGGAAAAATGCACTGGGGTGGAGTGGAGAGTAGGTGACATTCCTGCCACTTAACAGTAAAACGACTGAATTCACCTCGGTGCCACTAATCACACTTACAAAAATGCTTACCAATACTGCTGTCTCATCTTCAGTGCCAAGGTCACAGCTAAATCAGAAACTTCTGACTGAGATGCAGAAGCTATACTAAGCTTCTTAATTTGGTAGTACTGTAAATTTTCAGAATTTTTTGAAGAAGTTTGTTCTCTCTAGTATTTTCATTCTGAGTAACTATTATTATGTAGTTATTTTTACGACAGTGGTAAGAATAGGCCATTTTATTCTCCTTACTAATAGCAATTGCAGTAACAATTACTGGCATGTTTATGGCATTTTATCTCAAAAGCAGGAATAAAATTAGAGGTTAACAATCTTTTAAATCAGTGAGGCCTGAGTGCCTGCCTGATGGGGGTGCCTGCAGCCACCTCATAACTTGCTGGGTGGCCCACTTTCCTTCATCCCCAGAACAGCCCTAGAAATTGCTCTCACACCCATTTTGCACTGGAGAAACTGAGGCACAGAGTGGTTAGGTGCCCTGTCCAGGGTCACACATGAGAGGGCAGTACCAGGAGCTCCTGAGCCGGGAGCTTCCTAGTCTCTTAGTTACTTACTGCCCTGCCCCTTGGGGTGCAAACGTCTCTCTACGGGGCCATGGGAAAAACTGGTCTGTTTTCTACCTTGAATCACCTTTATGAACTTGGGGTTTTGCTGAACCGTATCTAATAGGTTTGACATCTCTTTATGGTTATAGCCATTTTTGGTAAAATTAAATGAGACCACAGATGCCGATAAAAAGCAGATGCTTGAACGGATTCAGCACGCAGTGCAGCTTGCCACAGAACCACTTGAGAAGGCTGTGCAGTCCAGACTCACGGGAGAGGAAGTCACCAGCCATGTGGAGGTGAGTTTCACACATCTCCCAGCCAGCCCTTTTGGGTCACATGTCAGGCCATGCACAGACTGATCTGTGTGCACAGATTGAGTCCACAGATTGTCTTAGTGGAAGATACTCTGGCCGTGTCTCCTATAGCTCCACTGTGGCAGGTGGCCCTATTCTGTGGTGACTGAGTCAGTACCCCTCCCCTCCCACACGCTCTGGCCCCATTTCCTGGGTGCAGAGCCTGTGCCACGGGAAGGATACCTGGGATCCACCACCCTCACCCTCACTTAAGAGTTGGTCAGGTGAGAGAGCGGCCTCCATCAGACAGGCAGGAGGTGCACTTGGAATGTGGGGGTACAGCCTTCTGTCGAAGTGTTCCAGGATTCTCCCGTGGACTTTCCCCGCACCAACTGGAGAAGGAAGAGGAGCAGGGGTTAACGTTGAATTGAGCATTGAGGCCTGTGGGTACCTACTGAGCTTGGGCCTTCACACTGACCAGCTCTGCTGTCCCTGCAAAGGCCTCCTTCACATACAGGGAGAGACCTGGGTGCAGAGGGGGCCCTGCCCTCTTCCTCAGGCGTTCCTCTGTGGCTGGCGCCCTGGACACGGCGGGGATGGCCTTCTCCTTTGTGCCAGCGCCACCTGCTGGTCACTCTTTAAGAACTGGATGGAAAAAAGAGATGGCTGCAGCTGTGGGAGGAGAAAGAGGCCCCCTTAGGCCACAGCCTTACCGCTGCCCTGGCCCCACCTCAGTGATGGGCCAGGGATTCTGTGGCTGCCCTTCGTGGGCCTCTTTCTTTTCCGTTTGGTCTCTTCTGTGTCCTGACCTAGCAGATGACTTGGTTGTGCCTGTTTCCAGGCTTCTTGGAAATGCGCCACATGTGTGTAGTCGTCAGTGTGCTTTCACCCTGGCTGTGCTTCTGGGATGGAGCCACGTGGCTGTCACTCCCTCAGTGCCCGCCTGGGGGCCGAGCTGTTTGTTCTGCTGGGACGGGCAGTTAGGTTTCCTTATTACCAGCAATGCTACTGTACATTTCCCCCCAGTTCTTCCACTAATATTCTTTGTTTTTAAATTGTGATAAAACACACATCATATGCAATTTACCATCTTAACCATTTTTACAAATGTTTTCTTTGCAGAGACAGGGTCTTTTCGTGTCTGGTTTGTTTTGCCCAGCGTCGCGTCCCTATGGTTTACCCATGCTGTCGGCCTGTTGTACTCTTCCTCCTCCCGTGGCTGAGTCATACTCTGTGGCGTACACAGATGGGCCACATTTTGTTCATCCATCCACCTGCCCGTGGGCACGTGGCTTGTTTCCACCTTTTGGCTATTGCGAGTAATGCTGCTGTAAACCTGGGTGTACAAATACCTGTTCGAGTTCCCGCTTTCACTTCCTTTGGAGACCTCGCTGGGTGATAGGATGATTCTGTCTTGGCATTCTGCGTAACCACCGTGTTGTTTGCGCAGTGGCTGCCTATCACACGTTCCCACCCGTAGTGCACCTGGGTTCTGTTTTCCCCACGTCCTTGCCAAAGCTTGTTATTCTTCATCTTTTTCATCCTAGTAGGTGTGAGGTGGTGTATCCCGTGGTTTTGGCTTGCATTCCCACAATGACTAGTGATGTGGAGCGTCTTTTCCTGAACTGTGAGTTGTTTTGTGTTGTCTCTAGGTGGACATTTGCAACTTTCTTTAGGCCATACACCTGCAAGTGGAATTGCTGGGTTGTATAGGACATATGGGGGTGACTGTGTCGGGGGTTCCCAACACTGCCCACACGTTCTGGGTCCTCCAGGAGGACTCATGAGACTTGGCACTGAGTTATCATCTCGTCTAACGTTTGTTTGTTTGGGGTTTTTTTTTTTGTTTTGAGATGAAGCTTCACTCTTGTTACCCAGGCTGGAATGCAATGGCACGATCTCGGCTCACTACAACCTCTGCCTCCAGGGTTCAAGCGGTTCTCCTGTCTCAGCCTCCCAAGTAGCTGGGATTACAGGTATTACAGGTGCATGCCACCACACCTGGCTAATTTTTTGTATTTTTAGTAGAAACGGTTTCACCGTGCTAGCCAGGCTGGTCTCGAACTCCTGACCTCAGGTGATCCGCCTGCCTCAGCCTCCCAAAGTGCTGGAATTACAAGCATGAGCCATCGTGACTGGCCTCATCTAAGGTTTATAATAGTGATACAGCGGAGGAGCATAGGCTCAGGCGGAGTCTTCATTCATCCGCGGGCAGGCTGCTGCAGCGTCCTCCCTCCTTCCCATGAGGACACAGTGCACGCTTTCCCCCTCCAGGAAAAAATACAGCCACATGTGTGAAATGTTCCTCCCTAGGGAAGCCCGTCACGTAGGCACCCTCTGCCTGGCACGTGTCACAATTCCTGACTCCCCAGAAGGAAAGCTGGGGTTCCACCTGCAGAAGCCACAGTGTTTGTTCAACAGCCCGTGGGAGCTGCTGCCACAGAGCTGGGTGTCCCAGCCTCTTAGCATAGGGGACATTTCAGCTCCCAGATGCCAGCCAGTGGCCAGCTCTGCAGGCAGGCCTTTCTCAGGTGGCACACACAGGCCTGCTAGGCGCACTTTTACCTGCTTAGTAACCATATCAGCAGTGTTGGATGGTCAGCCACGGTGGCTCACACCTGTAATCCCAGCACTTTGGGAGGCCAGGGCAGAAGGATCACTTGAGCCCAGGAGTTCCAGACCAGCCTAGGCAACATAGTGAGACTCTATTTCCACAAAAAGTTTTAAAAATTAGCCAAGCACGGTGACGCATGCTGGTGGTTCCAGCTACTCGGGAGGCTGAGGTGAGACAATAGCAGGAGCCCAGGAGTTTGAGCTGCAGTGAGCCATGATCGCACCACTGCGCTCCAGCCTGTGCAACAGAGAGAGACCCTGACTCCTAACGGAAGGAAGAAATGTCTGTGCGATTTCCTTCTTCCTCTACCACATTTCCAGGGTGCTGTTTATTTGCACATACGCCCATATTTGTCAGATTCTTCCCTTTCGCCAATCAAATGAATGCGAAGTCCTGATTGCTGTGGTTTGAATGCCTCTTTTTCCACCGTCTCCTGAGACTGAGCGTCTTGTCACGAGTTTGCTTCCAGCTGTGATTCTGTGCCCCATCTCTCCCTGTTTCCCATGGGGTTATTGGTCTTTTTCTTACCGTTTTGTAGCATTCTTATGTCTTCTGATACTAATTGCTATGATGTGACTGTCCCCTCCAAAACTCATGCCCAAACTGAATCTCTAGTGTAACAGTATTAAGAGGTAAGGCCTTTTAGAGGTGATTGGGCCGTGAGAGCTCTGCCCTCCTGAACAGATTCATCCATTCAGAGATAAGTGGGTTAATGGATTAATGGGTTATCACAGAAGTGGGGTAGTTACCTTGAGAGTGGGGCTGTTATGGAAGCCAGTTTGGTCCTCATGAGCCCCCCCAACCATGTGATGCTCTGTGCCACCTTGGGACTCTGCAGAAACTCCCCACCAGCAAGAAGGCCTAGAACAGATATGGCCCCTTGACTTTGAACTTCCCAGCCTACAGAATTGTAAGAAATAAATTAAAAAAAAAAAAATTACCCAGTCTTGGCCAGGTGTGGTGGCTCACCCCTGTAATCCTAGCACTTTGGGAGGCTGAGGTGGGCAGATCACCTGAGGCCAGGGGTTTCAGACCAGCCTGGCAACATGGCGAAACCCCATCACTGAAAAATATAAAGATTAGCTATCGCGGTAGTTCATCCTGTAATCCCAGCTATTCTGGAGGCTGAGGCAGGAGAATGGCTTGAACCCAGGAGGCGGAAGGTTGCGGTGAGCCAAGATAGCGCCGCTGCACTCCAGCCTGGGCAACAGAAAACAGACTAAGACACTAATCCATCTCCGTGACATGTCGGGTCTCTATGTGTTTGTGTCTCTCAGTTCTGTTCCTTTGGTCAAATTGTCCAGCCCAGGCCAGGTGCAGTGGCTCATGCCTGCAATCATAGCACCTTGTGAGGCCAAGGCAAAAGGATCCCTTGAGCCCGGAGTTTGAGATCAGCCAGGACAACATAGTAAGACTGTATCTCTACAAAAAATCTAAGAATTTAAAATTTAAAAAAAAATTATAAAAATTGTCCAGTCCTCCAGGAGTATCATGCTGTCTCCAGGGGTATCTGATGGGTGAGAGGTCCCGTCTTGGTTGGGTTGTTAGGTGTGTTTTGAAGCCTCAGCTTGTCAAGTTCCATGTCAGAGACCACTGGGATTTTAAACACTGTGCTTAAGAACCATCTCATGTCCAGTACGGCTGTGTTGAGCCTCTCTAGTCTTTATGTTTTATCAGCTTTTGCCCATTCTTTATTTCTTCTTTTTTCTTTGGATTTTTTTTCTGTTTTTCTTCGTCTCACTTAGCAGTCCAGCTCATTTTCTGATTTAAGAATTTAAGTCTATAAATTTTCCTCTGACTGTTGTTTTGGCTGCAGAATTTGATACCATTCACTTGTGAACAACTTCTCATATCCAATTTTGTTTTTTTCTTTAGCCCAGGAATTATCTAGAAGTAATTATCTAAAAGTTAATTATCTAGAATTACCTAGAAGTCTTAAATTTCCAAATAGATGGTATGTTTTCGCATTATTCCCTCCTAACTTAATTACCCAGTGGTCAGAGAGTGTGGTCTGCCCCGTGCTGGAGCTGCGGACGGAGACTTGTGTTGCGGCCCCTGTGTGTGCTGGTTTCTGAATGTTCTCTTGGGCTTGAGAAGGTGTTGTATTATCTAATCACCTAGTGCACAGTTCCACAGGCCGTCCAGTTGGCTGAACCTGTTGGCTGCGTTGTTAATATTTTGTGTGTCTTTGCTAATTCTTCCTGCTGGCGTAGCCTATTCATACAGTTTCTTAAAAAAAACAAAAACACAAACCGAAACAAAACTCCCCTTCTGATGTTGAATTTGTCTGGTTCTCCTTATTTTTTCGCTTTAAAAACAACAACAAAACAAAACGCACCTTTTTAGAGCAGATTCCGATTCACATCGGAATTGAGAGGCTATGTATGTA